CATATGGTCCCATGTCCAACCTCCGTGGGTTTTTCCAAACACCTCCGTCTGTCACTGACCAGTTTAAAGGGAAAGACTCCTTCCCGGCTCACCACTGCTATCAATGACCATGTACAGTCTCAGGACCCTAGCCTGGGCGGCACAGCACACCCCCAACTCCTACTGGTGCTGGAGAACATATCAACACAAGCTTCCAAAGGAGGCTCTCCCCTCAGCTCCTTTGCACTAAGAGGCTTCCCAAGAGTTATCCAGTTGTGTCCTGGCGCCGGAGAGCCACCGCCGAATGCTTTTAATCTCAATTCTCCAAACTCTGCTAAGCTCACAAGCCTGATGCAAAGATGCTTTTTGATGAGCTGGAAGGGCCGTGTCCTCCCTGACTGCGCCCATGACACTGAGCAATTAAAATACAAGCTATAATTGGGGAGAAAACGGGAGGGAAACAACATCTTTGTGCACAGTCATTTACTGGACTGGAACTGCCGATGTCACGCAGGCCATAATCTTTGCTCTTAGTTGGACCCAGACCAAGGAGTTCCAGGCTGAGTTCACTGAAGGGTCATTGTTACACTGCTCCTGGCTTTGTCAGTGCGCTGAGCCTGCTGGCTGCTCACTTTCCAGATTCTGTCTGTCCATCCATCCATCATTTGCTCCTGCCCCCGGCCCCTTGACATTGCTCCTTTGGGACAGAAGGGCAGGAACAGCCCCACAGAGTAAGGCAGCTCCCTTGCTGGCACAGAATTGGGGGAATGGGGGAATACAGAACATGGGGTATGTTGGGAATAGGGAAGGGATGGGAGTGGTGGTCACCAGTGCTGCTGCACCCTAACCATTCTCTGTGCCATAGGGGACCAGGGAAGTGGGACATAAGTTAGGGCAGTCATGAAGCTTCCCTGAATTACACCAGCAGCTGGGCAGGCCTGTGGCATGAAGGTGGCTTGAAACAGCTGTGTCCCCACCTCTGCCTGCCTTGCATTGCAGTACCGAGCACAGGCACAGAGTAACAGGATCAGGCCCATGGTACATTACACTCCTTAACTGCAAAGCTCTTCCTCTTGGGTTCGGTTTAACAGCAGCCATTAGGCAGCAAAGATGAGGCCTGGCGCCCATTTGTGTATCTGGGAGCTTAACGTCTCCGCTTCAGGCTGAAGGGGAAACTGCACAGAGAAATCCACAGGCGAGAGGAAATGCTGGGCATTGTAGGCTCTGGGCGAGCTGCCCCTGGGGTGGGGCAGGCAGGCTGTGCAAGATGGCATCCTGGTCGGAGTGAAAGAAGGGGCTCTGTGCTGGACTGGCTATGCAGCTCCCCCACTCCTCCCTTTCCTCCTCCCTGTCCCATACTTTCCTTTGGATTCCCTTTTCTTGGCAACTTCTCCCATCAGCAATATTTTCTTCCTTCCTCTCATTTTCCCCCATTCTCACCTCCCTTCTTTAGGACTCTTCCACTCCCCAGTTTTGCACCTTCCTTCCTGAATCTTTCTCTTTCCATCACTCTCTCCTTCCTCCTTTCTTCCCACCTCTCTCTCTTTCATTTCCCCTAGCCTGCCTTTCAAAAGGAAAAAACCCAGACAGGAAATGAACCAGCCCAATTTAGCACTGCTGGGGTTGAAAGTTTATCATCTGTGATTGAAGTATCTGCACTGAGGCCTTGATGTGCCACCTGTGTGCGATTTTGAATTCGAGTTTGCATGCTCCCTGCGACTCATGTAGGTTCGCACAAGCTGTGTTTCAATTTATATCTCTGTCTCTCTATATTTTTAAAGCCGCAGCTAATATTGATTTAGTAACTCAAGTGTTGGAATTTCATCATGCCAGGGAGAATGCATCAAATAAGACACAGTAGTTGTTTAACTCCAAATGTAGGTCCTGGTCTATGGGGTGTATTTTGCTTTAAGAACTGATTTGGGGGAAGATAGATACTGAAGGACATTTGCATTGGGGTGATGGTCGGGGTTGAGAAGAAGCACTGAAGTTATGAGTAGGCTTTCCCCAAGTTCCCTGAGAGTATCCTCTCTGCTCCCCAAGCCCTTTCCTTGGTGGCCCCATCAGCCCTGTTTCATTCAGTACTTTACACAGCTCACGCAAGAAGTGTGGTCTGGGCATAGCCTTGGAGACTCCTAGAGCAGCGTGTGCACTGGAGCACAGCTTGGAAAGCATTCCTACCAGTGCCAAGCGAACCCCAAATGTTTGGATGTTTCAGTTGTTTATTAGGGAAGCCCCCAAAGTAAGATGTTTAGCTACACCTCTCAGGGCTGCAGACCTGAGCTTGGAGTCTTGCACCAACAAACTTCCTTGGGAGACCGCAGATAACTGCTGACTCTGGTCAGGCTTCACATGCACTTTTCTCAGGAGCTTTAGCCTTCCTAGGGCTGGGATTGGAAGAAGGAAGGGCAGGAGCAAGTGCACAGAAGCATCACAGATAGGCTGGGCCCATCTGCCCTTAAAGGAGCCAGTCCCACCTGTGGCATAGTTAGGTCACCTCCCCAGGTGGGGCAAATGAAGGTCATGTGACCCAAACAGGCCTTCTGGGGAAGAGATAAGAGCAGAGGCCTGTGGCAGAGCTTGGGGAAGTTTGGGTAAGAAGTATCAGGGTGGCAGGTTATAGAGCAGGGAGACAGACCTTCAGACAGGATGGGCCTGGTCCAGCCAGAGATAGGGGAGAAGACTTAGGTCTGTTTATTTAGGGCTTCTAGGGGAGAGACATCCTTGAGTTCTGTGCTTGAAAAGCTTTGTTGTCCGCTTGTGTGAGCTGGCGGAGGGAAAGTCAAAGGGACTGGGGCAAAGAGTTTATTGAGGAGCCCTGAGAAAGGGAAACTGAGGTAGCGTTGCTGCAGAGCCACCCCATGCCGGGAGGCAGCACTCTGGCCGTGGCTGCTGTGTTAGAACAAGAAATAATCTTTAGAAATATGTATCTGAATGCTTATACAAAAGGTATCAAGACTAGTTTGGTTAGGAGTGAATTTGGGACAGAATTTCAAGTTGGATCATACTGGCTCCAAAGCAGTTTGCTCTGCAAGCTCTGTCTCTAAAGCATGTAGGAGAGCGGAGCCCAGAATGCAGGATAATGCCCTCCCCTAACCAGAGTTTCCTGGGTTCTTGGCTCTCAACCAGAGCTTTATACCCCCACCCCACCCCCGAACCCTGTGTACTATGTCTGTAGCAAAGTATCCAGCTTTGTGTCTGGGGATCTCCAGTGATTCCAGTTCCTGGGTTTCATGCCAGCCTTTTACCTGGTGTTGTCACCTGGATTCATGCCCCTCCCCTGGAACTTAGTGCTCAAGCAAACTCAAAATCACAAAGCCACACTCAAGGGAAGCCCCTGAGTTTAACCTGGTTTAGGTGCTAACTCACAAATTAGCCCTTGTTCTCTGGGATGGTTTGAGGGGCATGGGGAGCACTGGGTGAGCTGAGCTGCCTTGAGTCTGTAATGACACTTATAGGCAGAAAGAAAAGGAGTACTTGTGGCACCTTAGAGACTAACCAATTTATTTGAGCATGAGCTTTCGTGAGCTACAGCTCACTTCATCAGATGCATACCGTGGAAACTGCAGCAGACTTTATATATACACAGAGAATATGAAACAATACCTCCTCCCACCCCACTGTCCTGCTGGTAATAGCTTATCTAAAGTGATCAACAGGTGGTCCATTTCCAGCACAAATCCAGGTTTTCTCACCCTCCACCCCCCCACACAAATTCACAAATAAAGTCTGCTGCAGTTTCCACGGCATGCATCCGATGAAGTGAGCTGTAGCTCACGAAAGCTTATGCTCAAATAAATTTGTTAGTCTCTAAGGTGCCACAAGTACTCATTTTCTTTTTGCGAATACAGACTAACACGGCTGTTACTCTGAAACCTACACAAAGTAAAACTATCTCCCCATGAAGAAAAGGAGTACTTGTGGCACCTTAGAGACTAACCAATTTATCTGAGCATAAGCTTCCGTGAGCTACAGCTCACTTCATCGGATGCATAAAGCTCACAAAAGCTTATGCTCAAATAAATTGGTTAGTCTCTAAGGTGCCACAAGTACTCCTTTTCTTTTTTCACCTTAAGTGATCACCCTCATTAGAGTGTGTATGGTAACACCCATTGTTTCATGTTCTCTATGTATATAAATCTCCCCACTGTATTTTCCACTGAATGCATCTGATAAAGTGAATTGTAGCTCACGAAAGCTTATGTCCAAATAAATTTGTTAGTCTCTAAGGTGCCACAAGTACTCCTTTTCTTTTTGCAAATACAGACTAACACGGCTGCTACTCTGAAACTTATAGGCAAGCAAGTTTCACGTGGTCATATTTTGGGATTTTGCAAAGCTCCCTAGCACTGTTTGCAAGAGGGGGGACTCCCCTTATGCCATGACTATCTGAGCAGGGAGGATACCCTGGTTGCTCCAGTGTTTTCTATGGGAAATGTTGTTTCCAAGAGGATTCACACATGCTCAAGGTCCTTACAGGAAGGACAGTTCTTCGTGTTTAAATACAGTGAAACTTGGGCAAGAAATCGCCCTTATTGCACAATTGCATATTTTAAGAGCCCACCCCAAAGTATGCTGGGCCAAACCTGCCCTAGGTGTAACTCCACAGGGGAGGTGACTTTACCCCACTAAGTACTATTCTGCTCCACCTGGATTAGGAAATTACTTCTATTAAGTAACTGCTTCTGGTTGGTCTTTGGAGTGGTCACTTAAGACAGCCTCAGCTGTAATATATTTGCCATTTTTCTTCTCACTCAGCTCCCTGATCCTGTCTTTCTGTGTCCCTGTTTTTCTTCCCATACAGCCCTATTTACAGCATTCAGATATCAGCCTGGGTGAGGCTTATGCTCAGTTCAGCTCATTTTTGGTGAGGGGAGGAGAAAGTTATTTGAAACCTGTTTAACTTTCCTGGTGCTTAATTTCGCAGTCTAATTTCCCTTTAACAGCAGAAGCCAAGTGTCTCTCTCTCTCTACTGTTAAATGCAATGCAAGCTCTGATTGTGATATCATTTCCTTCTCAGTGCATGACTGGAAAGCAAAGGAGAGGACGACGTCCATTGAGCTTCTGGCAGCCAATTGGCCTGCATCCTGACACCATCTGACTTGGGTATGTGTGGGTTTTTCCCCCTGACATGGGGGTTTGATGCTATTGTGTTGCAGAATGTATAATGCTCAATGATCTGTTGCTAGACACAAACATGGGCTTGTCTGTGTTGCTGTAAGATGGGCAGAAATTCCTTCCTGCTATAGTCTGCCATCAGTCCCCAATTACTTGCGTGTTGAGGAAATGTAGAGTTCTTCAGGAGGAATGCAGAAAATTCCATTCTTTTGGCTGAGGGTGGGAAGCTGCTCCTCATATATTTCACCATAAGTGGGGGTATCTGGGAAGTTGGCGTCATGCTTAGTTGGGATGGATCTCCAATGTGTCTGATATTTGGACAACTCCTTGAAAAATACCATCATTACAATCTGGTTAGATTGCATATTGGGGGAAACTTTCTAATGATAAGGATAGTTAAGCACCGGAACAGGTTCCCTAGGGAGGTTGTAGAATCCCCATGGCTGAAGGTTTTTAACAACAGGTTAGACAAACATCTGTCAGGAATGATCTAGGTGTACTTAATCCTGCCTCAGAGAGCTGGACTAGATGATCTCTTGACGTTCTTTCCAGCCCTACATTTTTATGATTCTGTCCTATCACCTGTAGGATATTCCTCCATCATTAAACAAGATTGGTTCTCTATAAGGTCTATATTATGCCGATCACAGAAACGGCTGCCCGCTGCCTGAGCTAAGTGTAGATCCCCCCCTCCACTGTAATGCAGGAGATGTTGGCCAGACAAGCTCTTAATTCTGTCTGAGGGCAAGCAACAGTGACCTCAAACGACTGTGCTTTGTGAGATGTCTCTATTACAGTCACATGACATTGTGACGACTCAGCCTGCTTCCCAGCTTTCTCTCTAGGACAGTCGAAAGAGACAGGAGCAGGTTTTGGCTTGTACTATACATACAAGATCCTAGACTAAAATCTGTGAACTGTCAGTTTGATATAGGCAATGCGTGAGACAGCAAACATCAGAGCTGACTGGGTCTAGGCAATTTCCCAGCACGACAGTCCTCTGGAGAGAACAAAGAGATCGTTCAATGCAGAATGGAATTTAGTTTCCTAATGGGGAAAAAAAAATCAGGATGATTCAGGCATCTCTTTACATCGAGCTGGGGAAAACCATAATTCAGGTTGGATCTGCCCTAATCTGAGGTGAGCTTGTGGGAAGCGCTCTGATCTGTGGCTACTTTCGAAGGCAGAGCTGTATCTGTACCATGGGTTAGCCAGTGAGGAACCATCTGCTCAGGCCTGCTTCAGAAGGGGAACTGTGTTGCTAATCTGGGGCTGGCTGGCAGGCAGTGTCCTTCCCCAGGCCTGTTTTAGAAAGGAGGGAACATGAACAATGAACTGGTGCTGGCTGTCAGGTTTGTCACACGTTTGGGGTTTTTTTCCTTCTTCCCCCATATTCTTTGCTCAGACCAAAGGGCAGGATTTATGGATCCGCTCACTGCAGGCAAAATGGGGACACATCCAAGGACTCCTCGTGCCCCACCGTGCACTCATGTGGATGGCTCCACGCTGTCTTTGAGGTTTCCTTTATCATCATCTATACCATGGTAGCATCTAGAGTCCAGGTGCTGTACAAGCACATAGAAAGGGACAGTCCCTGCCAAGAAAGAGTCTAAAGAGAGGAGATAAAGGGAATATTATCAACCATATTCTACAGAGGAGGAAAATGAAGGACAGGTGTCTGGGGTTTTCAGTGGGAGCTGGGGAGCTAACATCTTGGCAAACCCCAGTCATACAGATGAAGTGATTTACCCAAGGTTTGTGGTAGAGTTGGGAATTGAACACAAATGTTCATGTCCCAGTCGAGAGCCTTACCCACAAGGCCATGCTTCCACCCTATTGCTGTGTGCTCTGCTTCCTCTCTAAATGGACTAAGATGTGACACGTGGCCTGGACTGACCTAAAGCTGGGGGTTGCACTCCGTGTGTGTGGGTGAGCTGGCAGATATATATCTGTGTGTGGCTCCTTCAGAGTACTGGGTGGGGAAGCCTGGGCATGCAGGGAGATGGTTACCTGTCTGGACAGGGGAAACAAAAGCCCCTTGGCTGTGTTGGTGACCGTCTTTGTGGCACAGGGCAGGGACTGACCAATGTGGTCTTGCTCAGTTTCTGGTCCCTGGGGTGCTCTTTTCTACATTAAACCTGTCCTATGGCTCGGAGCTGCAAACTATATTCAGCATCAACATGCTGGGATGAAGAGAAATGATCAGTCGTCACCCTCGCACTTCATCATTATGATAATGTTAACAGAAGGCTGATTACTGGGATCATTTGTCAGCAGGCACATGTGTCTACCAATCCCAGATCGCAACAAGGTGTGCCACTACCTTGGTGTCATGCCGAATGTTTAAGGGGAACTCCACAATGGGAGGGGTTGGGGGAGAGGGTGACTATCCATCCATCAGTACTGAATGAACAAAACATGCAGATGAACCAGCATGTAGAGGACTTGGGTTGACGTACGGCAGTCGTCATATTTTATCATACTGGTGATTTAGGATTTGGAGCACCAACAGAGCCCTGCTCTGGTAGAGCCCTTTGGCTGCTCAAGGTTGTAAGCTACTGTATCGAGATGCACTGTCTCTTCAGATTAAGGATGGAGATGCACACTGCAGAGAAGCCCACAGAATTCGCACAGGCACTACATTATACTTTAACCCTAAAAGAGAGGGAATCCTGCAGGCTGGGTTTTTTTGGAATGCCAAGGAACGAATGAACATATGGATGGAATTTCCTTCTCAATCCAATAGAGAATGGCTCCCTCCCTGTCTGGGTTGGGGTGAATGTGGGCTGACAGTTCTGCATGGAGCCTAGTAGAACTGGTCAAGATTTTGGGGGGGGGGGGTCAAAGCACTTTTTCGAACAAAGAAATATTGGTTTGTTTTACTAAAATGGAAAATTTCCATTTTGGCCAAAATTTTCCAATTGTTCTATGAAAAAAATGAACACCAACAACGTGTTGGTTCTATGTTTGGGGGGTTTATATCTTTTTGTTTGTCTAATACAGAACACTCTCTTTACTAAACACTGACAATGTTTACCAAAAATGGTTTTCAAAAACAAGTTTTTCAGTTTCAGTTTTTTATTGAGGGGAACATAACAATTATTTGTCAAGAGAGATTTCAAGAAAAATATTTGGCAGTTTTCAACTCTGCTGTATGAAGCAAATTAATATACCCCATATAGTATGACTAGATTCCTCTTAACTGCTCCTGAAGAGGAGATACACTGGATATTGCCCCTGGTTGCCTAGCACTAGGCAACTTTCATATCTTCAATCCCAGTCATACAATTAGGCCCTAGGTGGAACTTCATTGACCTCAGGGGGATTGGCAGCACTTCTCCAAGGCATATTTAAGTTCATGACTGTTCACTGAAGGAAGGGCTGTTCTCAAAGGCAGCTCTCAAATTCCAAAATGGCAGCAGCAGCGTTGAAGGCAGGGCCCTTCTGGGCTAGACCTGTGGCTTAGAGAGACAGTGCAAGGTGCTGCCCTGTAGTGGGGGGGTCTGAATTTGGGTCCTGGGCATTTACACCTGCTCTTTCTCCCTCCTCTACCCAAGCCAGCGTTGGGAGGGAGGATGCGGAGGGGTGGGCAGGGGCAACAGGAAGCAGGCTGGGCGATTATTAGTTCAGTAGTGTTTTTTTTTAAATAAATGCTAGAAAATACATATATTGCTTCTTTGAACCAGGGCATGATTTACAGGGACCTTTCTTTTTTTTATTATTATTAATTATTTATTTGTATTGTAGGGGCCCATAAAAGCCACAGTCCTAGCCCAGCACCCCATTGTGCTGGGCACTGTACACAAACCGAACAAAAAGACAGCCCCTACCCCTCTGTCCTCTCTGCACATACATGTCACCTTGTATTCCGCCCCGCAGTGTTACCAGGTCCTGCAGCGTTAGCATAAGCCACCTGATATTTGGTGTTTTTCATAAAGCCCCAGCTCCTGGATTCATGGGGTTACAAGAGAATCACAGCTTTTGTTATTTAAGAAAAGGAAGTTTCTAGCCCTTGTGGTATGGTGGATATTTAAAGCCTGTAAACATAAACTGAGCTCACCCAAAAGGCTCCGGACCCAGAAGGCAAAGTGTCTACTTTCTTTAAACCTCATGATTTGGGGGACCTGGCTCATGCTTTTTGAATGCTGACAGTTGGCAACCTAATGGTTCCCATCCGTCCAAGCTCTGCCTGGGGGTGAATTGGCCTCTGCCATGTTGTTTGAACAGCTCTATCAGCAATCAAGTTTCATGCAGTTAATGTGGCAGGTGATACCACAGCCACACTCCTAATCTGTTACCAAACACTTGTGGAATTCATCCCTAGAGACCACAGAGGTATACGGGCTGCTGCCCTTCACGCTCCTCTCACACGCACATGGACTGACATACAAACCTGAATGCAGAGTGACACATGCACAAACATTCATCCTCTTTGCTCAGAGGCATATGTTTGGTCACAAACCGCCCCCCAGCCTCTTACTGCTACAGCTCAGCTGAGCGATTAAGGGGTGCGTGCCCCCCTCTCCATCCCCAAGGCTCATGTTAAATTTACTCCTCACACCTCTGTCAGAGCTGCCTACAGGTAGGACACAGCAGCGGCGCCATGCCGTGTTCCCTCCCTATCCTAACGCGGCAGCTTTTTGAACATCTTTTCCTCCTCCAGTGGGAGGAGAGGTGTCTGGGCATGGGATCTCAGAGCCAGATCCTTGGCTGGTGTGAATTAGCTCAGCTGTGCTAACTTAGTGGGACTACACTGGTTCACACCAGCTGAGTATCTGGCCCTCAAATGTCAAACGAGAACGAGGGTTTCAAAGGGCTTTACAAGCATCAATGTAGTAAGCCCTTCACAGTGCCCAGTGAGGTGAGTGATATCCCCATGGGAGAGATGGGGAAAGTGAGGCACGCGAGCCAGGCAATGACTTGCCCAGCAAATCAGGAGCAGAGCCAGGAATAGTCTCCTTGCTCCCATCCTGATGCCCCTTCATTCC